GTATGAGATTACGGGGGTTTAAAATAGCACTGAGAGGAAGCAGAGGGAATTTTGTGCACTTATCCAGATGTTATGTAAGTTGACAGCGAAGAGCCGATTGCATGGTCGTGTCCATTAATCTAAACGGGCTGTGATCACCTTAAAACAGGTGCAAAGGAATAAAAGACCGAGACGGCATCGAAACACCTCAGCATACTCGGGTGTAGAAGGCATTTCCTCCCTGTGAAGGCTTTACTTGCTCCTGCTGTGGGGACATTTTTGTCTCCTGTGTTTAAATTTAGCTTTGTCACTTCCTGTGCAGGACCATTTCCTGCTGGCGATCACATCCAACTCTAGAATTTCAAATAAGCTGAATCTCTGGGACCTGTTTCTCTGCTGCTTAGCTTTCTTTTTTAATTGAAAAAAGCCAGATGTGTCTTTGTAAAAAGCCTTATGTAATACAGCTTTTAGCCCCCTGATGTCTGTAAACAGCTCGACAAACCAGCAATAACGTAGTGAACAAAAAAGAACATCGCAATGATAACTAAAGATAAATTCTGGGTTATCCTGTTCTTTGAATGCTGACATCTTTATAAGAGCATGCTTACACTTAACTTTATCTCTAAAAAAATGTCCTCGGAAAAAGGCATGAGGAAAAAAACAGTGCAGGTGAGCAGAAAGAGGAGAAGAAGCAAGATTAAAAAAAAGAAGAAAAGGAGCAGACGAGAGGAAAAGGAGAAAAGAAGTTAAAGAGGAGTAGAATAAAGAGACCTCCATGGAAAAGAAGAGAGGAGAGCAGCAGGAGGGATGATTGAATAGTTATATCAGAGGCTGAACACAGCTTACATTAAAAGACTGACTGAACTTTAATAATTACCTTTCATCATAACACTAATGCTAATAGCGCATAATCCAGCTTATCATTTTTAATATCCTGCAGACAGATAAATGGTAAAATCTCTGGCAGACATATTCTAACATCTTTAACAATTTTCTAACTACAGCCTGTAATATATGAATTTCTATTACTTCTGTGTCTAGGCTGTTTTTTTAAACTATAACACAGTTATCTACGTAGCCCTAATACTCAAGCCTCTGCTCTAACACCTCAGTCTATTAATACCTCTCTGTCAAACCCATATGTGACAATCCGCTCATTTCACTCACTCCTACGCTTCCTTGCCACCTTGAATCCCTTCTTTCCTCTCTAACACTCCTTCACTTCCCTTCCTTACACTCCATCACTTTCCACGTCCCTCTGCCCCTGGTCATCGCCTCCCTCCGTGTCACGGATGGTAAAACGACTCGTCTTAAATTGTCTTCTCCTTGCACCTCAGAAATCTAACATCTGTCTGTCACCTCGTCCGCAGGGCGAAACAAGTGGAGAAGGTAGAAGGAAGGAAAGTTGGCATATATTTCCACCACAGGATTACATTCAGCAGATTCTTCATAATGATGATGCTCGCAGTGATATGAGTCAACACAAAAACGACACTCTGGTGAAAAGACTGAAGCTAATTTGAAAATGAATCTCCGACCACGGATGCTGTCCCCGGGAAACAGCTGCCAAGCTGTCTGTATTTTAAACAGCACGGAGCTGAAATCCAGCGTTTGGTCCGGTGCTTCGTATGTGGCGCACATCATTCTCCGTCAAATTAACTCAGAATGGGATGACACATTGAAACTAAGTAGATTTTTTTCTCTGTCTCTTTTATTTTGAGCCGCAACAAACAAATAAAAGAAAAACCCATTTAGTAAATCATGAAAAGAAGATACACAGTCTTCCACCTTGATATTCCTCATGGAAAGGTGCCAATGTGAACAAACCACTGTGGACGAACACATTTGTTTGTTTTCTTATTAGTCTTCTTAGTTTTCTAATTAAATTTTGTGAAGGTTTATGTTTGACTCCAGGGTCTGCTGTATAGTGGCCTATCACAATAAGCCTGGACAGACTTATATAATAATCCTCATCCTAATGAAATAACTGAAGACCACACTGACGCTCATTCTGGTCTGGACTGTTTTCATTTTCATTTGATTTAATCTGTATGTGTGAAAAACTCAATAATACTTCATTTTAAGGCAAGAGTCAGATTCAGATTTCTAACAGATGAACAGAAACAAAATATAAGTGTAAAAGTTATCATTCAATATTTGTACTGAACAAAGATTCAAATGTGAACATTTTTAGGTGATAGCAACAACTCAAAACTAGATTTGACGGCATGATTGTCATTCTTGCTATAAATACTGCCACTATTTTTCATCTAATTTCAAGCAAAATGCTTCATATTTAAAAGACAAATAAAAAAGACGAGATGAACTGATGGGAAACCGATTATATAACTGGACGCTTATGGTTGGCACCTAACCCAGCTGCATCGTCCTCACAGTCAGGACAGTGGGGAGCAACAGTATTAACTTCCCTCTTGTGGATATTGTAGTGGAGATGGGGCTAGTGAAATACTGCATGTACACAGGTAGCAGCTTTTAGACAATTAACGGATTGATTTATGCTGCGGTGAGACGAGTGTTTGTTATGTGAGCAGGGAATGGGCGGACTTGACTTTAACGCTTCTGCTTTAGTTAATAAAACAAAAATCAATAAAACCATCCACCCACTCCCATCTGAAACCCTTTGAACTCTGACCTCCGGCGGCTGGGGATGACCCCGACTTCCGGGCAGTTCGGGGGCGGGGGGCTGAGGTGACGGGCGGGCCACCACTCCTCTTCGCTGGCGCTGCTCACGTGGAGGATATCCCCAAAATGAAAGGGCAGGGCCTGATTGGGCGCGCTCAGATCCGAAGCACTTCCATCATAGTCAAACAAGGCCCTGCAGGGGGACAGAAAACAAATGACGCATGCAGTTACACGCTCAGCTTCAGCGTGACAAGCCATTCTGCTGGAGGACAGGTTAGTTGATGACATATACATTTCATTTTGAAGTTTGAAACTAGACTTTATTTCTCTAAACAGATAGAAAGACGTGCTGGAACAAATACAAGATGAAAAACAGCTGAGAACTGTTTTTCTACACAACAAATTATTTTTTTAATTACTAATTTATGACCTTGTCTTGGAGCACATGGCACCGCGTATGTGTCTGAAGTTGTGCACATCTGTCTGTGTGAGTGTCACTGTGTATGTGTGTGTAGTGTCTCTGTGACCACAGAGATGCAAACCCATCCAGAGGGAAAAGACCTGGGAAAGTAGGCCAGCGTGTATGCGTGTGTGTTTGTGTGTGTGCGTGCAAAGGAAGTAGAGCTGAAATAACCAACATCCCCTAAAGTCCCTACTGCCTTCATCAATAAAACAGAACAGAGACAGAGAAGGAGAAACAGAAGAAAATTAGACAGAGAGGTAGACACAGACAGGCCAACAGAGAGCCTGACATTAGTACAAAAACACAGCACTTCGTGCTTTTTTAACGATACATCAAGATGATAAAAGAAAAGACGTTTTAATTTTAGGTGGAGGCTAAAAACTGACAGCCTGCATTAGTATTACTGTAATATAAGTTAACAGGCGCTGTCTACCAGGACTGCGAGCAGGGCAGAAGGATTGCAGGTGAATTCACTAAAGTGTTCAGGGTGACACTGATTAGCTGCAACGGCACAAAAGCTTTAGTTAAGCCGCTCTGTTGGTGACAGCGATAATTAGATTAGATTAAACCTAAAGACGGTTTAAACTGTGTACAGTAATCATCAAACACAATATGTTGCCTGTGACGACGATGGTAGCACGATGCTGTGATACTTGATATTTACTGCAAGACAACCACTTGTTATAGACGTATAATTATATAAACCTCTGTATAAACTATTTTACAAGCAGTCATATTTTTTAATACTAAGCTATGGTCATGATAGGTTATATTTAATTATATTTATGATAAGCATGAACTCATTTTGATCTTTGTAGGAAAAATCAGAAGAAACTCTACAAAAGTGTTTAAAAAATTATTTTAGTAGACCACATGCAGCCTGTAGATCTGTTGTAATGGGAGCTACTGTACAGTGAGATATTTAGATGTTCCCATAAAGTCAAAGGAAAGTCAGGTATTCTAAATGGCATGATAAGATACATGAACATCACAAGCTGTAAACATAAAGCGCTTTTTTAAATTAGTGGATATTTGCTGCAACTAGAAGCAGAAAATATAACATACAATAAAAAAACACCCGCCTAATTTTGCAGCCACCAAGTTACAATGATGGATGGTGTGCAGAGTTATTAAAGTCGCAGCTATGTAAATATAATTCTGTTAAATCAGTTACAGGTTATCAATTACACTCAGTTTATTTGTACATGAGAACCTTTGAAATCGAATTACTCGAGGGAAGGGACACACATTTAATTACTGCAGCGTGTAGCAGCGTGTAGCCACCTAACAGACTGCACAGTGTGTGTGTTAACCTGTGGACATTTTCAACATTACATAGCATGTAAATGCTATTTTTGTACAGCAATCCGATTATTGCCTAAATCTTGTGCCTGTGTCGCTAAAATCAATGACCTGTTCTCAGTATTACATTCATTTGAATTCCTCTGAGGAATTTGTCCAGTGGGGAAGCACACATGAATTACTGTAACCAGTCTGTAAAAGAAACACACACCCATTGTGTTAGAGATTTTGCATAGCCAGCAGCCTTTTGTCCAAAGAGCACTGCAGTTTAACTTTCCAATGAATACTCATATAGAATTACTGCACATGTGCATATTATTTCCAGAGGTGAAAACGGCTGTGTGACACTGCTGTCATAGGCGAAACAGCCAAATTAAAGTAAACCCCCATTCACATGTAGATTAGCGGTACACAACATCACACAACATTAACTGCACGCTTGTGATAACAGACATTAACGTTCTGCAGCACAAAGCTAAGAGAGAACAGCTTACCATCTAACTGACATTACAGCAGCACATGTAACAGCCTCATTCATGTTCCCTAACAGGCATGCACTGTGTGTTGATGCTGAGGAAGTAGAATGAGAGCACAAATAATCCCCTTTTTTCAGAGTTTATCTGTTTATTTCTTCATTTCTATTTGTGTCATTTCAAGTTTTACATTATTTGTGGAATATAGTATGACAAT